GAGATGCGAGAACATTACCCTGAATTGTTCACAACAGCGGACTTTAAGGATGAAGTCTAGTTCAAGTGAGGGAGAATTATAACCTTCAATTTCTATGAGCAATTGTCAAATTTAAAATTTCAAAGGATTTAACCATACTCTCAATGTGAGGAAGGTATTTCATGTTGTGAGGAGTTTAATGAGTACGCGCATCACTTTTGGGATCACGATGTGAGCGCACATTGGCTTACGACGTGAGTACTGCCTGAGAGGACACCTGTAATGCCCGTGTTTCTGGGCTTGCCATTTTTAGCAATGTAATAGTCTAGGTTAACCTTTGTAACCCAATTTGAAATAATAAGAATGTATTATTTGTGAATTATGTGTTTATTTTCTTAAATATTATAATTTAATGAATTAAGAATACAATAATCGTCAAAATTAAAGTGTGAGATATGCCCGATATCTTTGCATGAAGATGTAGTGGTTGAGACGAGGTTTCCGAAAATATAAAGAATGCTGAAATCCGAGTTATAACGAAGAAATTATGACCCGTCGAACTTTCGCGACAAAACCGGTGTAGCACAACGTGACGTAAATAGTGAATTTACGAAGGAGTGATATTTAGCCTTAGTGATCAACACGAAAGACGTAGATAATGTTGAACCGAGAGCGTGCATAAAAAGAACGCCTAAATCTGACTTCATATGAGGAAGTTATGATTTTTCAAAGTTTCAGCTTAGTAGTAGACAACCCAAAAGTTCGAATTACGATCGAGCGAATTTTAGCCGAAACTTTCTAAACTAAAATCGAAGATCTCGTTGATGGTAGTGCATTGGTGAAAAGACAGACGAAAACGGACGTCAGACGAAGAACTAATGAATTTCTAACGAAACTTTTTGTCTCGGACTACTAAAAATAAATAACAAAAAATAAAGTCAAACTAGCCGACAGAGTATAAATGAAAGTTGTAGAGTATGGTCTGACCTACACGTGGATATAAAGAACGTCGAAAACGAAGCTCGTATGCCAAAGTTACGCAATTTAGAAGTTTGACGAGTCAAATTACGCCGAGCGTAATTTGAGTACGCCCAACGTACTCAGAGGAGTGCAAATTGTCTGACCAATACTCGAGTGCCACCAAATGACGCATGCAGTGACGTCGAAGTACACCCAGCATAACCAAATTACGCCCAACGTACTTAGAAATTACGCCCAACGTAATCCTAGACCCAGCAGCCTATAAATAGAACTCGAGATCAGCCATTTTCCTTGCGATTTTTCTTCCTTTCTCTCTAAGTTTTGCATCGTTTTGCATGCCAATCATATCCCGAAGCCCCAGTATCATTCCCGAGCCCCGAAGCAAGTTCTGAAGCCCTGAGGATCCCGAGAAGTGAGATTTCTGAGCCGAAGCCCTGCCCGCAAGGAGTCTGATTTTTGTGAATATCTTCCAGATCTACCGAAGAATACTACTTCTGCAAGTCGTAGTGTTGTCCGATCATCTTCTGATCAAGTGAGTGTATAGTCCCTTTCAATACACGATATTATACAAGTAATCATTGAATGTATTTAAGAATACAGGTTGTGTGAGGGTATTATTATTACCTTCTAACACATAGACTTATATGACTCTCCTTGAAATTTCTTGTTGTGTGTTTACGTATTACTTGTTATTTGGATGAAGTATTGAAAGAGCATGCTATATAGTTTTTCTTTTAAAAATTACGTATAAAACATTTATATTTTTATCTACTAATATGTTAGGTAGAACATGGGTAGACAGTTGGTGTGCAATGAAATAAATTGATGAGAGGCCTCGTTGTTGGTGTTATTCTAGTCATTCAGCAGAGTATGGATGACGACCACGGACTATTCTAGACAGTCCTGTAGAACGCTAGCAGGCTCATAACCTGTAGGTGTTGTGAACGATGTGTTCACCGGTGTACTTTATCCCCCACATGGTTGCCTTTAGGACACTTATTGTGAGGAAGCCCCTCTGTAGTAATGTCCGTCCCGATGAAAATCCTAAATTAGGTTCTTTATAATAGATGTTGTTTTAGGGACGTAAAGTGAGGATAACGGGAATGGGTAATCGGGTTATTGTTGATTGTTGAAATTAAATATAATTATTTATTGTGGGTTGAAAACCCTATATGCTCACCAGGCCCCCAAGCCTGACCCACTCAGTTTATTTGTATTACAGAAAGTGGCGCAAGGGCATAAGATGGATGAATCATCAAGTTGTTGTGTTTACAAGTCTGTATATGTATATATTTGTTGAATGACTTGTAATGTTATCGTTTATGCTTTATGGTCTGTATCGGAACATGACATCCCGATTTTTGATTATGAAATGAAATTATATTTCTTTATGAAATGTTTTGATAAAAATCTATTTTATCATATTTTGTTTTTGGGAACAAATTCCACATCTCTTTTAAAATCAAAAGGATTTACTCTGAAAATATTTAAAAAACATAAATGAAGCCGGTCTTTTCTGGCCGAGATTTTTGGGGATGTCACAACACCCTAATTTGGGGGGGTTTATTTTCGTATTTAAAGGAAGTAAGGGCTAGGATTATCCCACCCTCAGCCTCCATTACCTCTTTGCACTCCCCTTTGAAACCCCCACATCCATATTTGATATTGAAGCTTATTTGTAGTGATTTTAGGCAAGGAAAAGAAGAGGAAGAGAATCTAGTCCATTATTTTTGCATTCATATCTCACCACCAAGCATTTGCACATCTTCTGGACCTTTTGTGAGTTTCAAGTTCATTGCTTTATGAGTCCATAATCTTAGATCTAGGTTTTTATGCTTAATCCTTCATATTCAAGATAACGTAGTGGTTGAAATCCATAAAGTTGCCAAAAGTATAGATTCTAGATCTGGAAGATGGTTTAGTTTTATGGCTCTTGCACGAAAATTTGTGTCATTTTCCCTTTTTGTGCCCTGGCTAGTGTTTGGGACATGCATCGGGCATGCATGTAAAAAAAATCCATGATTTTTATGATGTTTTGGAGTAAATAAGACACCATGGGGGATTTGGTTAATGGGCCAAAAGAGATAAGAGTTTCACTAAAAACTTCTTATGAGAGCATTCTCACACTTGAAAACAAGGAGTGTCACAACATAAGGATGGGGTTCCTCAACTATTTTGGACTTATTCATAATGTGACCACTAGGGGTCATGATGTGACTAGCGGTTGTGGGACTTTCAAGTTTGAACTGATTTTGAATTTGACTAGGGTTGACCAAGTTTGACCTAAGGGTATTCTGGGTATTTGAGTTGTATTTAAGATTAGTCATTATTTGATTAATTGGTGGACCCAACATGCATGATTATATATGTTATCCTTTTGTGTGATGGTACTTTAGGGGAACTCACTAAGCTTCGAACTTATAATTTTAATTTTATGTTTCACATACTTCCGTTGATCGAGACAAGGCGAATGCTTGATCGTGCACATCCTTTTGGTTTTGATGATATTGATTTGGGGACACTCTGACATATGAATTCTATTTTTAAGAACAATGTTTTGTAAGTGAATGGTTTTGAATTGGATGGTATCCAAAACCAATGATTTTACTTGATTTGAAAAGTGAAAATTTTCGCCTTGATTTTTTGGATGCTACAATCTCCAACACGTTTTCAAATATTTGATCAATCATCTTTTTATGTATTCGTAGTTACAAATAAACTACCAACTAAACACTTTTTTTGATGAGTTGATACAACTGTTAATACATCTTGTTCACTTGTAAAACATCAATGCCTTTTTGACCGAATAATAAATTAGGAGTGCTCTTTGGGACAATTTTTTGCCATTTGATGTCATAAATGTCTTTTTTGTCAAGTTTTCTCACCAGTCAATCATGTTAATGATAAGAACATGTATTTAATTTATGTCATCAATATAAGTTGTTTGTAATTACCACCGATCAAATTATAAGACTTAGTAAATTATGCTATGTGTACCAAACTGTAGAGTTCAAATTATGTTATGAGATGTCGAAGTACCATTTGGCTTGTCTAGATTCGATGTTTGTAATTTGTATTCGAATGTATGTATTACATAAGACACTGTTTAGAGTTTGGAGCTTATGTGTCTAAGTCCTTATGTATATTTTGTACGCTTCTGTTGTTCCTATAAATAAGGATATGTATAGGAGTGAGAGTAACTTTTGTGCACTTTTGTGAACTTTACTCTTTCAAACTCGTGTACTCATTCAGAAGCAATAAAAGAGCCAAACAGATCATATTTACATTTTATTTTCTTAATTCAATATATACTCTAATTTCGTTCTTAACACTCGATTCGTACGAACTACACAAACCTAACACTTATACCATAATATTGTTTCCAATAAAGTCTAATGTTATATTTCACAACTAGAGGAAAACAATCGAGTTATACCATAATATTGTTTCCAACAAAGTCTAATGTTATATTTCACAACTAGAGGAAAACAATCAAGGATTTTGCTTATACATAAATGTTAGTCATTTGTGGTGATGTGAATCTTGCTCGAACAATAGTGGAGTATTGGGTGTAACAATATCAAAACAATGTAGTTGTAACGGTGAAGTTTTTTGATGTGTTAATGAGACATCACTATAAATGTGAAGGGTTTAAGATTTTGAAAGCTTCATTTGAAAGAAAGCATGTTAGGGTGGGTATAACTACTCAAAATATCATTAATAAATCAAATATTTAGACATAGTCATACGGGGCATACACAAATGCTTGTGATGTCTCTGATGAACAATTCACCCACAAATTTTTATTGATGGCTCCTCATACTTCATTTTCAATTGCCTTTATTTGATATTGAAATCATTAGTTTTATCAAGAACATTATATATGAATGTACTCTATAAACTCGTATCATAAAGTGACTTTATCATCATCGATGGTCTTTTAAGATTTTAGCATCATGACATAACATATCAATGATTACCTATACACATAAATAATGACTTTAGGGTTCGATAATAACACAATCATGCATTAGTCACATGTTTGATCGAGTTGTCATCAATCAATACGGTCGAGTTTCATCACAATTGAATCACGGCCAATTAATAGATTACACGTGGTTCCATCGTGTATCGGTTCATCAAATCGAATTCGGATTCAATTAATCGGTTCGGGTTTTAAAACATTAAACACATTATAATTTGGCCACAATCAAACCCTAATATGCACCCACAAAGTTCCTACATTTCAAACCCTAAAATTTCCCTTCAATCTGCACAAAACTCCCATGTCTCTTGATAAGGCCGTTGAAAGGGGAAATGAGTCATCGGCCCCTATATCGACGGCAGTTGCTGCCGTGACCAACGGTAATGGTAATGGAACTGGTGCAGCGCCGTCTAACGCCAGCTACCGTCTCCGATTGAACCCTAATCAAGACCACAAGGCGGACAACTACGACGATCTAGGGATGGAGTTCACTCCCCTGCTTTTCAGCTCTCTGGAGCGATACTTGCCTCCGAATCTCTTGAATGCTTCTCGAGACACAAAGTATAAGTACATGCGGAACATTCTGCGTCGTTATTCGACTGAAGGAGAGCGTACTCGAGTAAGCATATGCATTAAACATCGCTTTATGCTGCATTGCTTGCATAAATTTGAATTTTTCCGTCGATGATGAGCAATTGATTTATTTTCAAGACTAAATTGCATATGCGTAGAATATTACACACGAATTTTGCATTCTGTTGGATATTTAGAGGATCTGAAGGAATCGTTAACCATCTTTTCCATTGCTTTCATTTCAACAGGATCAGAAGCACAGAGAGTACAGGCAAAAGATCATATCCAATTACCAGGTAAATTTCATCTTGAGTGGAAGTGGAAGGTTCTTCTTGTTCACATCTATCAAAATCAAACTGTGACATTTTGATTTTCTTGTCAGCCTCTGTACAGAGAACTTTATACATTGAATCCTTCAAGCTTTTTTGTCCAATCCTTTTGGAAGGCATTTAGTGCGAATGATAAGAACAGAGACGAAAGTATCAGAAGCATAATGTCTGAACCTGCTCCAGGAGTGTATACATTCGATATGCTCCAGCCAAGTTTCTGTGATATGTTGCTAAGTGAGGTATTAATTTGTTATCATAATCCTGTGATTGGGTAAAACTTATCTCGGACATTTTCTTATCAGGTTGTGATTGCTGCCTTAGGTAGAAAATTTTGAAAAATGGGTCCATGAAACAAAATTCAGAATCATGCGACCCAATACCATGAACAAATATGGTGCTGTTCTTGATGACTTTGGCATGGAATCCATGCTTGAGAAGCTTATGGAAGAGTTCATTCGCCATATCTCAAAAAGTAAGTTTTTTTTTTTTTTTTTTTTTTTTCAAACTTAGAAGAATTGTTTCAAGATCTCTGTTATTAAATCTGTTTCTGGTTTTGAAATCATATGCAGTTTTCTTCCTTGATGTTGGAGGGTATTCTCTTGATTCCCATCATGGATTTGTAGTTGAATATGGAATGGATAGAGATGTTGAACTGGGTATGTATATATGTTTTTTTTATTTTAATTTTAAATAATGATTTTATTTGATTTGATTTAAAACTTGTAATTTAGGGTTCCATGTGGATGACTCTGAGGTAACTTTGAATGTATGCTTGGGGAAGAATTTTACTGGTGGGGAGTTGTTTTTTAGAGGTGTTCGATGCGAGAAACATGTGAATACTGAAACACATCCTGAGGTATGTTTATAAAATTTTTTTGTAATATTATATAAAATAAAAATTCATTTTCATGTTTAATTTTACAGGAAATTTATGATCATGCACATTTACCTGGACGTGCGATTATTCATCGTGGTCGACATCGACATGGTGCAAGAGCCACCACATCAGGACAGAGAATGAATTTACTGCTGTGGTGCAGAAGGTATTGATTACATTTTCAACTTTTTAATATTATATCTGACCAATTTTTAATTAATTTTATTTTGCAGTTCTGTGTTTAGAGAGTTGAGGAAACATCAAAAGGAGTATTTGAATTGGTGTGCGGAGTGCAGAAGGGAGAAGCAAGCAAGGCTTCAGCAGTCTGTGACTGCAAAGAAAATGGTATATATACATATATATTATTCATGTTTGGTTGTCTTTAGTCCCTTCTAGAAGATTCTGGAAACTGATGAAATGTTTGTTTGATGTTGTTATTTAGGAGTTGCTTGTGAGTCAAGGAGATGGTGGGGATTTTAATCCTCGTTAGAAGAAGATGATGATGAATCTGGTTTGTTTTTTGGGGTGTTGTAAATTCAGGTCTCTTTTTTTTCAGTTGGACTACATGTTCTGCCCTTTGGACTTTGATTTAAAATGGCGGAATGTTGTTTGTTACAATTTAACTTAAACTTAGATTATGTGCTTTTTGTGCTTCTTGTTGTGATTCAATATTGTTTGTTAGAAGGTGAAATATGGATGTTTTGTTCTTATAAAGCTTCTGCTCTGTCTCTTGTGTTTTTAAACCAAACATGAATGATTGATATTAGATAGATAGACTGGAGTTGATTAAACTAGGTTTCATTAGTTTCAGAATGATTAGTGAATAGTGAGTAAAAGATAGATTTTGAAAAATTAATGATTAGAATTATGAAATTTCCTGCTTACCATACTTGAAAATGACATTTATGCTGTATCTTTTTTTTGGGTTGGCTAAAAAGATATCTCATTTTACCATATAGACATCCTAATTAAGGTTTGAAATATTTTTTTTTTTGTTAAATTGCGTTGTTTTCCGAAAAAGTTGATTATAAGTAGTTAATTATAGTTTATTTTTTTATAAAAATGTCAATATGGTGTCTTATTAGCAACATATATTTTTTTTTACCATTATTATCTTATAAGAAAATTATTTAATAAATTATGGGTCTCACCAACACAAACCAACCCTCCTAAATCCCTAAGGCAGAAGGAGACACCTCTCCTCCAACAAGGAAGAAAGGGAGGAAAAAGAAGAGAGACTCGATTTGTCATTGTCGAGTTGCCCTTCTAAGCCCGACATGACTAGTTCAAGTCTTGCAGTTCGTTGGGTCCTTGTCATCGCTGCCGATGGTGTGCTAAATCCGCTTAGTGCATTTTAATAGATTTTTTCATCAGTCACCTCGTCTCTTCTCGCCACCCCCACCTATCTTTTAGTTTAAAATATTAAATCGTTTTAAAACACTTAGTATTCTTTTAAAATCATATTTGCAAGAAAAAAAATATGATCTCATAGTATTAGTCACTAATAAGTTTCCAAACAAAAGTTTTAAGTGACATTTTAAATGTCCAAGCCCTCTTCTAAGATCTTCAATATTCCTTCTTATCTAAATACATATCAAAAATTCAAAATATATAGTTTAGGGACCGAGAATACCTGTTAAGTAATATATGGATTTGTCATCTTTAAAGTCAAAAGAATTGACAAATTGTAACGCTTTGTTCTGAATTGACTCCTAGTCCGAGGTTGTGGCTCGAAGCCCGGTCATCATAAGGATTATGACTTTTGAAAAATGTAAGATCTAGGCCATTTTGGGTGTGAGTGATGTATTAGAAGCGATCCGGATATTCGCTTTGTGTTTTGGAGCCTAGGTGTATTTCGGTAAAGTGTCAGTTTGGGCTTTTGTGGAAAATGGACTTTTGTTCGGAAGGTCTTAAGGAAGATATGAGTTAATAGAAGTGTATGGCTTCTCGTTATCTTTTCGTGGATATAAGGATCGTCAAAAACGGATTTATAACGAAGAAGTTATGGCCTTTGGAAGTTTAGTGGTTTCAGGCTTAGCCGAGTATGTTGGGCGTACACAAAGACTACATTGGGCGTACTAGTGAAGAAGGTAGTACGCTGGGCGTACTGACCAGGATGGTCGCGAATGTTCTTCGAAGTACGTTGGGCGTACCATATGTACGTTGGGCGTACGCCAATCGGACCTGAACCCTATTTTAGGGTCCTGGACCCTATTTAAGCCCATTATCTCATAACCTAACCCTAATATCTTCAGCCTCTACCCTCTAAACCCTAGAAATTGACCCTTAGCCCTCATTTGAGTGAATTTGGAGCTTGGATGACCATTAGAGGAGTATTTTGGTGTTTTTGAAGAAGAATGTGTTTAGAGAAGAAGCAAGAGGTTGAAGAGAGCTTGTAGATCCAGAGGTTTTACATCATTTCTAGCCTATTGAAGGTATAAAGTTCTCATCTTGGTGCTTCTACATCATAAATCTAGGTTCTCATGGATATTGCCTATTTTTGGTTTCAAGAATGGATTTTTATGGTGAAAATCTGTTTCTGGACTTTGGGTTGAAACCCATGAAGCTATTTGAGTCCCTTAAGCAGTAAAGTTGCAATCTTTAAGGCCTATTTGCATCCATGCAAGAGATCTATCCATTTCCATGAAGATAGTTACTATTTTTACAAGTTTGATCTCATTTGGTGGGGTGCAAGCCACCAAGTGATCAACTTTATGGGTTAAGAAGGGTTATCGGACTCAGATATGTAGTTTGGATGTAATGTCTTAAGGGTTTAAGAGGTTTGAAGAAAATGGCTTAACAGGAGAGGACACTGGGCGTACACACCAGTACGCGCAGCGTACAAGCCATACAAGCTGTACGCGCAACATACTGAAGAGTACGCTCAGCATACACTCAGATTCTGGACTTTACGTTATTGGGCCTCGGTTTGGGCCAATCTTTGGGCTTAGCAGATACTGGTCTGTGATGGGCCACCAGGAGATAGTTAAGGACCAAGGACTAGTTTGGGCTTGGGTGGAAAGCCCATTCGAGGAGTTGGCCCAATTTAGAAAATTGGGCCATTGGAGGACTTTACTAGGCCTTACTGAGTTTGGAAAGACTAGAAAGGATTAGGCCTTGGTCATGGTCCAATTTAGATCAAAGGGGTAAAATAGTCATTTTACCCTTAGATGGATTCTCAGTTTTTGACTAAGTGTTTATTTTGGTAATAATAGTCGGGGAGTCGTTGGAGCAGCTGACAGAGATACCCTCGCCCGAGTTTTCAGCATCCAGTTTGAGAGGTGAGTTTTCCTCCAGTAGGAACGGATCTAAGGCACCAAGGCCGGCTCGTTCAAGTAGTAGAGTACATCGGGGTTAGCCCGATACAGTCTATATGTTTCCAGACTTCGATCCGATGTTGGGGCGGTCCCGAGAAGTAGTTATGTATGCTTGATGTCTTTGTGATTCATGCATGTTTATGTGTTATGTGTTAGGTGTTTTGGACTCTGGTTCGATGTCGGGCAAACCCCGACATACATGGGTGATACCTGCACCTGATCCCACATCGACTTGGAAGGAGAACGAAGCATTTCCTTATAAGGGGTGCAGATACCTTCCTTGTCACAACGCGTTTTAAAGCCGTGAGTGTAACGCCCGTAGATCCGGGTTACTCACTTTAGAGACAATGAGCGTCAAAAATGAATTTTTGATAGAACATTATTTAGAATAAATAATCTTAACCAAGTTATAGTATATGTCACAAAGGTTTTGTAAATATAATGAATGCCGAAATCCGAGTTATAACGAAGAAGTTATGACCCGTCGAAGTTTTACAGCAAAACCGGCACCACACCGGGAATCGTAAAAAGTGAATTTACGACAAAATACTTTCTAGCCTTAGCGATCTAGACAAAAGTCGTAGTATATGTTAAACTGAGAGCGTGCATAAAAAGAACGTCCAAATCTGACTTCGTATGAAGAAATTATGATTTTTCTAAGATTTAGCATAGTAGTGTACAACCCGAAATTCAAATTTTAGATCGGTCGATTTTCATCCAGAATAATCTAAACGAGAAATGAAGATATTTTTAATAGGAGTTAAACAATAAAAAGACAAATGAAAACGGAGCTCGTATGCGAAAGATATGGACGAAGCTCAGTCTCTACTTTTCGAACGCGACGAATTCGATACAGTTTTGTAAATCTAAGATAGATTGAGAATTAGCCAACAGGATCTAAATAAAAATTGTAGTACTCGTAAATACCAACGCGTGGATATAAAGAACGTCGAAATTGGAGCTCGTATGTTAGAGATATGCACGAAACTTAGTCTCTACTGTTCAAGCGCGGCGAATTCGAATACAATTTTGTAAATCTGAGCTACAATGAGAATTAGCCAACGGAGTCTAAATGAAAGTTGTAGTAATCGTAAATACCAACGCGTAGATATAAATAACATAGAAAACGGAGCTCGTACGTGGAAGATACGGACGAAGCTTAGAGACTACTCTACGATAAAATCTCTATAAATAAAGGATGAATCCTTCATATTTTCTTCACACGATAACCTCTCTTTCTCTCTCTAACTTCTCTCTAGCCTCCTTAAACCCCTCCCAAGTCTAGGGAACCTCCCTAGCACGAGAAGGAAACCCCGGAGCGCTCGACAGCTCCGAGAAGAAGAGCTTTCGGCTCGGAAATGCTACTCCAACGAAGCCCGTTTTTTTTTTTTTTTAATAAAATCCGCTGTAAGTGAGCTACGCCTACACTATTTCTAATATAGCTTTTATTTAAAATATAGTAATGTTATTAGGACCTTATAATAATTATTTGGGCTATTATTATGAGTTATATAAGTGTCGTTATAATATCTTTTTAACCACTCGCGGTATGGGGAATCTAGTTTAAAAGGCCGCATAGGGTTGTTCGATTTTCGAAATGCTATATGCCAAAATGGTCATGCCCTCCGGTGTTTTATGTCTGGCCCCTGTCTGTACATAGTGGTTGGAAAATATCATTTAAACGCTTATAATAATAATAATGCTAAAGACTAATAATTAGTCACGGTAAATATTATACTAAAATCTAGTGGTAATAATACTAAATTTCGTCGAAGGAAATTATATTGTTAAAAAGCGAAGCGTTGTCCGAGTTTGGAATCATCACTTTAACAAGTGAGTGCATAGTTACTTTCATCTTACACATATATATGAAGTATTTTATATAAATTACGTGTCATGTGTGCATATTATCTGGATACTTGTTGTCTACGCTGGATGAATGATTTTATACATGTTTTGAATGATTTAAACTATATATTTATTTTATATCTACAAATATGTTGGGATAAAACATGGGTAGATGAAATAGTTGATGTGTGATGAAATAAAATGATGAGAGATAGGTGATGATAATTAGGTAATGATAGATAGGTGATGATGAATCAATGATGTAGGATGAAAGATACTATAACCATGTCCGACAATTTGGAGATGTAGTCATCTACCAGAGTATAAATAGCGACCACATACTATTATAGATAACCTCGTGGAAACACGATCAGACTGATAACCTGTAGGTGATGAATTACGAGTTCAGGCAATGTTGTAACTACGTATTCATGCGATGATACTCTAACCCCTTACTATGAATAACGAGTTCAGGCAATGTTGTAACTACGCATTCATGCGATGATACCCTAACCCTTGTTGGGCACGTATTGAGGGATTAATCACTGAATCAATATTATCTATGCGATGTAGGTGATGATCCTTAGGGAGAGTCCTTAAGAACAAACATATAAGGAAATGCGATATAAGGAGATGAGAGGTAAATATGATGTAGGAGCGACCCTTAGGATAAATCCTTAAAGAAGGTACTTAGGAATAAAGAAGATAATGGGGATGA